AAAAAAGACACCTGCACTCGAATGTTTATAGCAGCACAATTCATAATTGCAAGGCTGTGGAAACAGCCAAGTGCCCATCAATCCAGAATGGATTAATAAAATGTGTTATATGTAACCATGAGTACTATTAAGCTCTAAGAAACAATGGTGATATAGCACATCTTATATTTCCTGGTTAGAGCTGGAACCCATACTACTAAGTGAAGTATCCCAAGAATGGAAAAACAAGCACCAGATATATTCTCCAGCAAACTGGTATTAACTGAGTAGCACCTAAATGGACACATAGGTGCTACAGTAATAGGGTATTGGGGAGGTGGGAGGGGGGGGGGCGAGTATATACATACATAATGAGTGAGATGTCACCATCTGGGGGATGGTCATGATGGAGGCTCAGACTTTTGGGGGAGGGGGAATGGGCATTTATTGAAATCTTAAAATCTGTACCCCCATAATATGCCAAAAAAAAAAAAAAAACAAAACATAGATCTCCTGACTCCATGTCAGAGTTTCTTAGAGTTAAGCTAAACCTAATCTAAACATAGCTGAGTCAAAGGAATAGTCAGTCAGAAACTCCTTACAAAAAAAAGGGTAAATAGATGGGTTGGCACCTATACAAAAAGAAAGCAAGGTGGCAGAACAGAGAGATTTCTCAGGTGTTAGGAAAAAGAAAATATTAGTAAGTTTCCTTTAGGCATATAAGTTAACATGCTTAGAAAGATTACTGAAGTCCATATGATAAGGGGAGAGACATCATAGCCTTTATCTTGGAGGGACCCTCAGAGGTAGAATTTGAGTATGATATAAAATCCAGGGACTAAGGCAGACCAGTGTATAATAGATCCAAATCTAATCACTTCTTTTTTTTTTTTTTTTTTTTTTTGAGACAGAGTCTCACTTTGTTGCCCAGGCTAGAGTGAGTGCCGTGGCGTCAGCCTGGCTCACAGCAACCTCAATCTCCTGGGCTCAGCGATCCTACTGTCTCAGCCTCCCGAGTAGCTGGGACTACAGGCATGCACCACCATGCCCGGCTAATTTTTTGTATATATATTTTTAGTTGGTCAATTAATTTCTTTCTATTTTTGGTAGAGACGGGGTCTCGCTCAGGCTGGTTTCGAACTCCTGACCTTGAGCAATCCGCCCGCCTCGGCCTCCCAAAGTGCTAGGATTACAGGTGTGAGCCACCACGCCCGGCCTCTAATCACTTCTTGTTAGCTGTGAGATCCTATGCGAGTTAATTCACCATTAAAACATCTAGCTCCTCA